CAGTTAATAATAATCAACCCAAATATTTTACAATAGGCAAATTTATCTTTCTCTATTATGATTTACTTTGTGCACAAAAACTTTTTAATATGCATTATAATTTTGCACATAATATGTTGTTTGTGTATTTACTTGTATATATTACGTAATAAATACATATGTACAGTATACTAAATGTTAATATATAAGTGTGTACATATATTTTAAAATTTATTGCGAAAAAGAATGAAATTTCTGGTTATCAAACGCTTTCAATCATTTCCACTGCACTGCATTTAGTAATATCATATACATACATGCATGTACAAACACACATATGTATGTACATACATATGTATAACTCACATTATGAAAATGTTGGTTCGGAATAAGAATTTTGTGTAACTACTGTCTTCACACAAAATATACGTAGTACATACTTCATTCACATAATTTCCTCACATCTTATTTCTTTTGCGGTGATTCGTTTTACAAAAAATTTAACTCAAAACAACTTAATAATTAAAATTACCGCTAACACTGTCCAAATTCAAATGCAAAACATAAAACTAATAAAAATTTTTATGAAAATCTAATTACTGAAAAATTTCAGTCTTATGATAATGCAGAACTGTAAATAAGCATGCAAGATGTTGAATTGTTATTTCAGACAGAGCACGCTTTTGTTACATTTTTAGTACAAAAATTGAAGTGATTTAATTAACAATATTTTACTTTACTGTCTTTATTTTTTTTATTTTGTTTTTATTTTAGAACTCTATAATCGTGCCGCCACATTCGTGCTCAATTCAGTTTTTTGTTATTGTAATTTTTTGTTTTTTTCTTTTAGGAAGAGAATAATTATAAGTTAAAAATAAACAAAACAAAAGAAAATTCTTATGCTGCAGAGCGGCGTTAAAAAACAACAATGTTGTCACGGCAGTAAAACAAAAAATGAAAACCAAAAAGACGTTTAAAACAAAAAAAAACACTAGTGTTACAAAATGTATTCCAGTCCAGTAGTAACAAAATAATAAGAATTCGTGCTACTGTCATGCAAATTTAAAAGTAAACTGCACGAATTACTATCATTTTTATTTTCGTTTCTTTCTGATTTTACTTGATGAAAGAGAAAAAAAATTGTGTTATATTTTTATAACGGAATAACTGTAGTTTTAATATGTATGTACATAAATGCATGTATAAATATATAAAATTATTTTAGACTTTAGAGAAATCTATTAAAACAATTAATTAAAAAAATTCATTAAAGAGCATCTTCAATTTGACATTTTATTTTATTAGTAATGGTAAATTTGTTTTTATAAACTATTCAAAATCTAGAATGGTACTGCAAATTTGCAAAATGTCAAGTTTTTCATAATAAAATTTTAGTTTCAACTCAACAAAACGAGACAGTGTTGACACATGTATGTATGAAGAGCAATTGTAAAGTGCGAGTGTTGGAGTTCTTGTTCTGACAACTAAGCTAATTGGGGAAAATTTGAATTTTTCAAAGGAATAGTTAATAATATTAATCAGTTGAAGGGAAATTATAGAACAAATGTTTTTAATTTTATAAGACATACTTATATAAAAAGGATTAAGTTTAAAATTTTGTAAGCCAATTATTAATTAAAATATTTTATATGAACGGCTTTTCAATTAATCAATTAATTGGATTCAAAATTTGTAGGTAATCAAAAATTTCATAAAATCTCAACAAATCTGTTGTAATTTTATTGCCTTCTAAACCCTTAAAATAACTTAAAAACAATATTAGACAAAAAGCTTTAAACTCTAAAAGAAAACTTTATTTTCATAAAATGCTTGTCATAACTTCATTTACTTAGAAATCACTAGAAAATGTCCACTTCATAATGACATTATAATAAAGATTATGGTTATCTAAAATTATTTAGAATGCACTGAAATTTCAACATAAAAGCTACACAAAGATAAAATAATAGTTGGAAAAGAATTTGATTGTGTGTTAAGCAAAAAAAAAATTACTTTTTAAATAAAATAATTACAAAATTATATACAAATCTCTTTTCGTCCACCATCCACTTAACTTCCACTTAAATTTAAACATTAAAACAAAACCAAAAAAAAATATTTTTTCCTTTACTATGCGACTAATTTATTGAGTCAGATTTAGGTGGGTTTTTTTATTTTTTTGAAAATTTGAATGTTATTTTCCAAGCCAGTAATAAGAATAAAATGCAATAAGTACTATTGGACATTTAAATTTTTTTTTCAATTGCTTGCCTCAAGACTTTTTATTTGTTGTAGAAAATGAAAAATTAAAATATAAAAGAATTTCAATTTCGTTTCGGTAGTATTTGCACTTAATATGTATTTCGTTAGTTCGCTAGTTAACAGGTTGAAGTCATTATGCCAGAAAAACTAAAATAGATCATATATTTAGTTTTTAAACGTACCATGTACATATGTACAAACGCATTTATATACTCAAATTTATAAATAAAATAGAGAAAAATGTTAAAAAATTACAAAGGACCTACAGCACTTAATTGGAACTGGTCATACGGTTGTATTTCTTGTAAAAGAAATTAGAAAACAACTTAATTGAAAAAAAATTTTTGTTTAATTAGACAACTAGTAAGTAAATCATTGCGATACTAATTAATTATTTAAGAAAATTCATTATGAAATTGTTTAATCGAGTAATATTGCGGGGGTGGGGAAATAAACTTGATTGTAAAATTTATTTTAATTGCCAAGTACATACATACATGTTGTATTTGTATGCCTGTAACAAATTGCAATACATATAAGGAATATTTTATATAAGTGAATAAATTCTTTCACATTAGATTTTTTTGTTGAATATTTAACGTCACGAAATATCTGCATTATAAACAAAACTTGATATTTCGGATGTTCTATCTATACGGAGATTTTACTGTTTATTATTAATTATTAGTTTCAAATTTTCAATTTTATTTTTGTTTATTTTTATTTTTATTGAAATCATAGATTTTATAATTGATAACATGTGTACTAGTTTAAGAAAACACATCCATTATTTTATGAATCAAAACTTCGTTTCAAATAAAAATTTAAAATAATTTAAAATTTTACTTGTTTTAATTTTTAAGTACAGGTGTTTTTATTATTTTTATCGAATCTTAAATAGAATTTAATTAAGACCACTTATAATAGAATCCATTTAAGACCAACTTTATTTGTCACATTTTAATTATTCTTAGCAAATTTATTTTATGTATGTGCATATTCCAAATTCGAACAATTAGAAAATAGAAAACATGTTAAATACACCAAGGACCAGCTACCAAATGCATGATGTATGTTCATAAAGGTATACTATAAAATATAAGAGGGTTGGCAATATAATAATTGAATATGAAATTAAACTTAAATTTTGTCATAAAGAGTCTACCATAAAATAGAATTATAAAATTTTGAAGGTGTTTACCACACAAAGGTTAGAAATTTTATGAATTGTATTATTTTTGACATCATAAAAGTCTTTAAAAGAGATGAAAAAAATTTATTAATGTATGTACATACATACATATATGTGTATAAAAAAGGCAAAAATTTAATTTAAAAAAAAAAATTAAATTAGTTCATTGATTATTGAAATGGTGTTATTCTTAAATATGTACTAATATATAAATATATATGTATGTATGTATACGAAATTTTCATCATGCATTTTTTTTTGTAATAATTTTCTTCAGAAACAATTAGTACAATAAGTAACATATTGCTTTAAAAACATTTCTAAGAATTTAAAATTTAATAAAAACATGATTTTTAATATTTTTGAAATTTTGTACATATGTATGTATGTACATACATGTGTGTAAACTGTTTTGAACAACATTTTGTGTCATAAAACATATTTAATTTACCTGGAATTTTGTTAAAAATGAGAGTTCTATTATAATTAGAATTCTTCTACTCAACTAAGAACATGATTTGGTTGGTAAAGTTGAGTGAAAAGAATAATTTTAATAAATTATAATTTGATTACATGACAATATTGCATACATATGTATTATACATATACTTAATTTGAAAAGATTGAAAATTAAAGTATATGTATAATTACATGTAAAATTAATTACATACCTACAAACATATATGTAACTTATTATTATTTGCAATGATCAAAGAAAATACTTATTGTGGTTTCTGAACATAATGTGTGTGTAAGCTGTATTTAACGCATTGTTTCAAGTATATATGGCAATACTTTTAATGTACATAGAGTCAAAAATGCATTGTACAAAAGTGAGAAGAAAGCAGCTGTTTTGCTCATACACATGCAAATTTTAAATAAACATTTTTGAGTGAAATCTCGACTAAAAAAAATTAAAAACTGAGAAAACAATATTCAAAATTATTGATCATGCCACTCTAAAAAACAGTATTGTACATATTAAATTTTATTCTCACTTATTATAGACAGGATAGCAAAAATTTAAGTATTTAATTAAACAGAGAATATTTTGTTAAATTTAAATAAAAATATATAAGTACATAAAATTAAATTAATTATTCAAAAATTAATTTATTTTAATTGTTAACAAAATAATGAATGACTGATACAGGAATAATGTTTTGTTCTTAATTTCAAATTTAAATTTCAAAATTTAATTTTAAATTAAAATTTTTTTCCAAATGTTATTTTTAATTAAAACTATTGCTAATAGATATGACAGTAAACTTGAAACCTTTATATGCTAAAATTTTTGAATATGAACTATGACGAATGTCTTATCAAGCCTTTTAAAAAATCTTACAATTTTGCGAACCCTTAAATAATTTGTATTCTTCAACCCTGAAAAAACTGTAAAATTTTCAAAATCGAGAATTAATGTGCATGTTAAAAAAAATGTTGGCAGATAATTTTAAACTTGGACTCATATATGGAATTTATAATTACTGGGCAATTTTCGTAATATTTTAAAATATTATTTATAATATTTAAAATGTAAATAAACGGCAAATAAAATTGAAAAATTGAAAGTTATTTTGTACTGCATATAATTTTCAATAATGTTTATAATTCTAATTCTACAATAACAACAAAGGACTCAATAATTTTAAAGTACCACCTGTTACTTGCAAATTTATTAGCGCACAGACTGAAAAGGATAACAATTAAGATAAAATAAAAAAAAAAGTTTACCTGAATAAGTGCATTCTCAAAATCCATATTTAACATTTCCATATAAATTACTCAGTCAACTTAAGGTGTCTTAAAATGGGAGTGGGAGAAACAGCCAGTGAAATGTGTTCCACAGGTAAGTAGGTATAATCATATATAAAAATAAAGGACAAAACTATTTTGTTAATATAAATATATATTTTTAGGTCAGAAGTTATACAATTTCAAGGAATTTCAAACACAAACTAATAACAACTACCCATATTATATTGACAATAATTATATACTACCTCTAGGAAAACAAAAATTTGTTGAAATGGAAGCTACTCAAAAGACGATCAGTCATTTAGAATCGCGATTTTATCCTAATCAGAACCAGTCAAGAACTTTAAATAATTTGAAAAACGAATTTGATTTAACAACAAATTATAATTTAAATGAAAAAAACGTTAATAAATTAGAAAATCAACAAAGTATACAAGAAGAAATTTATACACCGTACATCAATTCCAATGGTTATTATAATAATCATAATTCACATTTAATTGCAACTTTACCAAATTATGAAAAAAGTGTTTCAGCAGAAAAAAAATATGAGGATATTGAAAACAATAACTATTTAGATTCCAAAAATATTATTTTATATCAAACTTTAGATTTGACAACAACAAAGGTTCCCAAAAAAACGATAATGGAATATAAAAGTGATTTACTTGTTCAAACAGAAATTAAATATGAAAATGATCAAGGATTTTACGGTCAGAATTATCAAAATTTATACGTTAAAAAAGAAAACGAATACAATATATCACCTACACAAAATATGCAAAATTTTCAACCGAGTTATTATAATCCATTTGTAATACCTCCTATTAGTCAATACGATAGTTATAATAAACAAAGTCAAGTATGCTATGAAGCGGCAGATTCACAAATATCTCCACAACAAATTGAATTTCCAAAACAACTTCAACAGTTAACAGCAAAAAATAATTTAAACCAAAATAATGTGATATATGAGGAAACAATTTCACAAATATCACCAAATCAGCCAGAAGATGAAAATTTGTATATAGAAAGATCAATTATAAATAATTCATCACCAGCAAATAGTGTAGAAACAACAAATATTGGGGATTCTAAAAACATTTCACCTCATAACTCAACTAAAAATTCTGTGCCACAACTTCAAAGTTTTGAAATATTAAAAAATAAAATTGAGCAACGGCACCAACAAAAAAAAGCTAATGAATGCAGGACGTGCAATAAAAATTTTATTACTCCGACTCAATTAAAACGTCATTTTTCTTCATCTGCACACAAGAATCAAATTCTTGCGGGTAGTAGTATAATTTTACCCAATCCTAATTTCAGACACGAAAATTTATTTCCATTATTATATGGAAAACGAAAACGTACATCATCCACAGACATACAATCTGACGAATCTTTAAATGACTCAAACCAAGATGAAAATAAAAACCAATATTCAACACTTATAACATCTTCAGATCAAGCAGCAATTGTATCATCTACAAGTAACGTTACAGTGAAAACCGAAAATTTTGAAAATAAACCACAGAATTTGCAACAATATCAATATTACTATAAAAATGCTGATGTCAGTCAATATCTACCGTATACAACACAAAACTCAATTTTATCTACAACCCAACAAACACCGAATAATAATCAATATCAACTTGCTCTAAATTATCAAAATTATTATCCAGGACAAATTTCAAATGGAATATATGACAATTTTATTACTCATACATCGCCATATAATTATTCCTTACAAAATTATTCTGATAATTCAACATCACCAACGGCAAATAACGATTTGCCTAATGCAAATAATCAAGATTATAACAAAACTACGCCGCATAATTCGAATGATACTATCAAAATAATTGCCAATCAACAATTAATAGTTCCACAGTACGGAAATCCATATGCTGCACCAGAAGCATTTGAATCACAATTTAATCCTAGTAATCAACAAGTTACACCAGTTTTTCTTCATAAGTCTACCGATTTAATGCAAATTTCTCCAACAACATCAATTATTAGCGATTCAACAATATTATCACAAAAATATGATCAACAATCAACAGTTAAAGATAATGTAAAAAATCAAAAAGAAAATAAAAAAAATCCAGCAGTATACAAAAGACGAAGAACCAATCCAGCTAATGAAGAAACTGCAAAAGTTAAATGTATAGAATGTAATCGTGAATTTGCAAAAACGTGCTATTTAACACAACATAACAAAACTTTTCATTCTGGCGATACTCCGCACAAATGTTTAAAATGTGGTAAGCGTTTTCATACCGAAGAAAGTTTAAATATTCATACTGAAAAGCACATTACCATTGACAAACCACATAAATGTGATTTATGTATAAAACAATTTCATCATAAAACAGATTTAAGAAGACATCGAGAATCTCATACTGGATATAATGTTCATGTCTGTGATCTATGCAATAAGGGATTCAGCCGAAGAGATCATTTGCGTCAACACTTTGAAACACATTTTGGTACTAAGGTACGTGGTGCAAAACCGAAAAAAAAAGTTGTAAATCCAGAAACTATTGCTAGTTATAATGAAACTATTAATACCGTAAGCAGTGAAACACCAGATCATGTCGGATTAAACAAGTTTAAAAATTAAAAATAAAAAAAGCAACTTTTTTCTTATATTAATAAAATTAATATACATATATGACTTTAATAAAAACCAAAACTATTCAAAATTTAATCGAATATTTTAAATAACAATAATAAATTCTCAGTGACTAATTACATTAAAAGTAATTTTGTTAAAAATATTCAAAATAAAAAAAAGAAATAAAAAGAAATAAATAAATAAAAGAAATTTTGTAATTTAATATTACAAAATATATACGATATAGATTTTATAAACATATACGATATTAACAACAAAAGAAAAGGAATTAAATTCATTTTTGAAAATTTATGATTTAAAAATTTTTGTAACCAAGTGAAACATTTTATTTTTCTATAAATTTAATTTTTTTTATTGTATTCTAATTTTAAAAATTGTAATTTAATTTAAGTTTTGTATTTGTTCAAACTTTTAATAAAAATTGTTTAAGGTAGCCTTTATTTTGTTCTGTGTATATTTTTTTAATTTTTTTTAGGTATAAGGTATTGTGTAAAACTTCAGTGTGCTTATTTCTTATTAACTTTAATATAATGTGAAATTATGAAACTCAATACCGCATAGTTGTTGCAGTATTCAACTAAATTCTGCAACGAATTTTTAATTTTATCCAAAATTTTATTTCGTAGTTAGAAATAAAATTTGTATTTATTTATTTTTCATATTATATATCCTTCATTAAATCTTCATAACTCAGGGAACTGCTACTAATGATAACTATCAGAATTTCTGTTCCGTTTTACACTCAATTCTGCAAACCTCAGATTCCTCTCTGCAAACGAATAATTTTTCACGAAAAACGAATACTTTTTTACGAAAAATTTTTTAAAAAGAAAACATTTTCTTTTCCTGACTCTTATTCCATATTATTGTAGAAAAAATTAAAAAATCTGATACTAAGTACAAATTATTTTTACTTTAATTGCATACATACATTTCAATCACATAGATTAGATTTGAATAATAGTGAAATTTTTTATTTTTGTTTTCAGAAAAATTTGCTGATGATGATTCAGATATGTTAATGGAGCCAGACGAAATAGCTCATGTATCAGTTATTCGATCAGAAAGTCGTCAAGTATATCCATCAAGCACTGAATATACTGATGATGTAACTTCACAATATCCAGCAGATTCACATTCTCAAGCCGCACAAAGTTATTATCCATCATTTTATCGTGAACAGAATAATAGTCCACCACATGGTCATTCTCGTCCATTCACAAATTCTGATAATTCAGGTAGTGGAAAATTTAGTGTAACACCGAGAGGTTTTGATCCAGCTATTTTGGGATCCGGTGATTTTGGTGTTATACGCGGCGGAACATTTTATCCAGAAGATGAAATACCATATCATGCAAATGATGAAGCAAATGAATATAATCAATTTTATGCTGATAGCTCTAATAATAATGGACATGGTAGACCACAATCTGATGAATATGTACAAAAATATACATATCCGGAAGAGCAATTTGCAAATTTTAGAGATTTTGCTGATATCAACACATCTTCTGATTATGCATCATCACATTTTGTTGTAGTTTATGCTGCTAAAACTCCATCATCTTCTCCATCGACATCACCATTAGAATCAACATCATCATCATCTTCAAGTCATCATTCAAACCCAAAAAATATTTTCGAACAGTTAGAACTTTTAGATAAGGAGAAAGCCGAAGAAGAAGAATTGCAAAAGAAGAAAAATCGTTTAAGTAAACATAAAACGAAATTAGCCAATACGAAATTGGAGAAGAAATACAAAAAGAAATTGGGACCTAAAGATCTAGATTATGAACCACTTTTAGCTTTAAGTTAAGGGAATTTTCATTAAATATTTCGTTTTATTCTTTTTTTTGTCTTTATATTCATTTGATAACTGTTGATTTGGTGATTTTTCTAAAACGAAATTGGCAATTTTGGCAAAAAAAATATTTAACTTATTCAGAAAATTAAAAAAATTAATATAGTAAAAGAAAATTTCGTAGATTTTTTTAGAAAAATCTTATTTCAAAGAAATTAAATTTCTTAACGGACGCACACTTACTATAAACGGAATGTTAATAAAAAAAAAGAAATTCTCGAAGATTTCGTAATCAAACAATACCCAATGCCTTTAAAGCTAGGGTAATAATTTGCAAAAGCTACAAACATAATTTAATATTTTCTTGCTATTTTTACATAAATTTGTTTGAAAGTCCGAAATATTATCTTTAATTAAATTTAAATTAATTAAAAACAAAAAAATTTAATTAACTTTATAAATAGCAATATATTTTAAGAAAATTTGTGCTTGAATTAAGCTAGAATCGCTACAATATTTCAAGAAAATAATATTCTATTACTGATATGGTATTTAATTCGGCGAATTATTGCCGAAAGCCTTCAAAACAGTAATTCAAAATTTTCAGTGTATAATATAGAAAAAGCATTAAGTAAGCGATTTTTTTTTCACAATTCTTACGAAATTTTTTTTTGACAGTGTATTTTTAGCCCTTCAAGTATTTTGTAATTTTAAGTGTGAATGTGAATTTCCATGAAAAATTTCCGAAAATATTTCCTTTTTGTTTTTACAGTTTTTTTTGTATGAATGTGTAACAATATTACCCTAAGTAATTTTAAAAAAGTATAAAATATTTTTTCCCGTACATACATACATTTAAGATCTTTAAAAGCACATTTAAGAACACTTAGATTTTTACAGAAAAAATCTTAAAAAGTAATCTACATAAAAATGTGTACGTAAACAGTTATGTGTATGATAATAACCTATAGATTCATATAATTCGACCTTTTAAAAAATACATTATAAACTTAAAACGGAAAAAATCGTATATTTATATTCATTTATTTTGGATATTTCTAAATTAAATTAAGTTTTAATTATAAATAAATTTAGAAACTTTCCAATTTTAAGGCATTTTATCATAGAAGTTTTCATAGAAAAAGATTCTTTATTTTCAGTAATTTAATTTGTTTCATGTCTTCATTTTATTCGGCTAGCTATCTACAAATTCATACTATAATTTCTTAATCGAATAAGAACTACGTTCAGAGCAAAAATGCATTTGCAGTTCTTTCACAGGAAAGTTTAGTAATCAAAATTTAATAATAAAGTTTCGAAACTTGCAAAAACTAAAATAAAACAATCAAAAAAATCATCATAAATAAATAATTAAAAAATTATATTAACTTTTAAAATTAAATTTATTATAATTATAATAACCCTAAATTATTAATGTATTGAAGATAATATTCCCAATATTTCTTAATTAATTACTATTTCAAATAAATTATTTTCTCTTAACTTAATTAGATCATCAAAATTTTCATAATTTCTATTCAATTTCTTCCCATTCTTTATGTTATGTTTCCTTTACATTTTTACCAATTAGTTTAAATCCTACATATTGTAATTAGATCATTTAAATATAAATAAATCATTGGCATATACATACATTTAATAAATTAAATATAATTATATTTTATATCAGTAAATATTAAAAAAATTTAGTTTTAATTATATTTTATAATAAAAAAATAAAAACGAGAAAAAGTTAAAAAAGAAATTCATATTTGTAAAAAATTTTTTGTATTATTTTGTATTTTTATGAAATTTTGAAAAATAAATAAAAATTTTTAAGAAAATATTTTTTATATAAAATTTACATACATACATACATATATAAAATAAAAATGATGTAAGTTTATAAAAAAATTAAAAAAAAAATTGTAAAAGATGAAAACAATTAAGTAAGTAAAGTATGCATAAATTTAATAATTAGAACCAATAATGACAAAATTATAAGGTTATTTTTTCCACTTACTAATCCCAAACATTATTCTCAATATGTTAATATTGGACTGGAACTAAAAATATTTTTGCTTATTAGGAAGTAATTTAACTGAGTTCAATGTGGGTAGAATTATTTTAAATATTATTTATTAGATGTTAAAAATTACTTAAATAAATATAAGTAGAATCTCAATTATCCAGCAAATAATTCTATTTTTTAATTTTATTTTGTTAATAATTCAAAAATTAAATTTACTATGAAAAAAGCATAATTGTATTTGTAGCTAACAACCTTTTTTATTAAATTTTTAATTCATTCAAATAATTAATAGCTAAATTTTTCTCAAAATACTTGTAAAATGATTACCAAGATTTCAAAATGTATACGCCTAAATGTTAATTACGTTTCTTATGCTATAATTGAAAAATAATTTTCAAATGAAAGATTTATGAGTTCATAACTCTAATATTTTCATGCGAACATAAAAATGTTCTAAAATGCACACTATAAGTGCTTTAATACGAATAAAATGAAAAGCAAACATTTATTATTAAATTAATTAACATGATTATTTTTTATTACCGCTTTACTACTAACTTGAACCCAATTTATATCTTCATAAAGCGTGTTAATAATTTATTTTCTAAAGTCATATGTAATGCAAAAGAAAACTTTCTTAATTTGTATTTTTTTAATGTTTCCATTTTCTTAAGTGTTAAAAATATTATTGTATATTTTTGATTTTTAAAAAAGGAAGCTAAATATAAGTTACATATGCTTAAATAAACAAAACGAAGCTTATAGTATCTATGTATTAAAGCATGATTTTTTATAATGCAACATAAATCATTATACTGCAGCTACAAATATTATAAGTTTTTTTTCGAATTCACCTATTGCTTAAATTAAAAGTTAAACATAACTAGAATGGAATTGAGATTTTTGCTATATATTTATTTTACAATATCCTTTAATAATTTAGGGGCGCCATTCTTTGATCTAGTAGCAATCGTATGTTATAGCAAAGAAATAAAAAAATGTAAGAAACAAATACAAATTACGAAAAGATCTTTTGACTTTTTAGGAGTACCATATTTACATGTTAACATTTCTGATTTTTGATCTTATAATTTTATATTTTTAATGCAATATTAAATACATGAATAACAAGATTGAAAAGGATACAACCAGTAATTTTTAAACTAAATTATTTAGTTTAAATTATTTTAAGTGGCTTTTTTCATATTATTATAATTTATACATACATATATACTGGAATGTGTTCGCAATATATATTAAAAAAACATTCTTGCTCAATGTATAAAGATGGGTAGCGCCTTTTTTTCAAAGCTTGATAAAAAATTTAATCTTTTCAAGGAACTTGAAAGCGGGTGAGCATTGTTTTACCAATTTACAAAATAAAATATAAAATTTTGTAAAACGAACGTAAAATTTTACTCGCTCGGGTTCGGGCTTTTGTAATCAATAAATCAGTAAAACCTATTAAAGAGTTAATGAAGAACTAGGAAGCGTTTAAAATAATTTTAATCCACGTACTTCTGATTCTAACATTTGTTTTTATTAGAATATTTGTTTATTGCACTTTTTGGGAACCACTGAGGAAAATTTACTCTATAGTACTATTGTTGCAAATATAAATTTTTTAAATTTAAGTTGCTACTTGCACATATGTTTTTTTTTTTTCATATGATTTTGTAATGTGTACATGAACATCTTGTAATAGCATTCGATTTTCGTATCATATATCTCACGCGAACTTTTAACTTCTATATTTCAAAGCACATTCAATATTACATGTTTGTGAACTTTATAATGATCCTGGTTTTCTCTCTTTTTACATGATCACATATTACATTTACATACTATATATGTATATACATACGAGTAATATTATCGCAATGCATCTGTTTCTAAAGGTTACACATAGTATAAATATTAAAAATTTACTAATAATCTATAAAATTGGTAAGCATAGTAATTTTAAACCCATTCAAAAAATTATTAAATATGATATCATGAATTATAATGCAATATTAAAGACAAAATAAATTCGATGGAAATTATTTACTTTTTTCTTTAGAAGTTGCGATTCGTGTAATAGAATTAAAATATTATAAAGAGTTGTCCCAAAAGTTATACTAAATTTTATTAAAAAAAAAAAAATTACTATAGCTAATGTTGATATTATAAATTTTTTTTTTTTTAACGCTGTATATAATATGTGCTTGTATGTTTGTATATTATAATATGTACATTATGGTTATGTTCATTTAAGTTCGTGTTTGGTCACGTTTTAAATTTTAACATCTAATTCCTGAAAATAACAAAAAAAAAATAAAGTTAGTATTTACAAGTAAGTTTTATTTAACAAGAGAATTGCATTTAAAAAATGTAGAAATTTTTACTATGGAATGTTTTGTATGACTAGAGAAAATATGAAACTGTAAAAATATTAAAATATGAGTTTTTATGAATTTTTTAAGATATTTATTTAATTATGTAGTTTTACTTACCGCAATAACAAAAAATATTGTTAATCACGAATGTCTACTGTATCTATATATCTAAAAAAAGTCAAGTCTCTGTTTAATGAATGTCTAACTAATTGCCGCTTATTTATTTTTGCTTTTATTTAGTCCACATGCTTTTTTATTATTGTAAAAATGAAGAAGCAGTTTTGCTTTTTTAAATAGGCTAGTTAATAGTATTCACAAATTAATTTCGGAAGAGATTTATAGTCAGGACTTACGAATAAACTTTTTTTGCTTTTACAGGTGGTGGTGGTGTTACAGTCAATGAAGTTTAAAAATATTTTGCTTATTTAAGTGTAATTTAAAGGCATGTATTAAATTTTTTCAAAGTGAAGGTCAGATTAAGTTTAAAATCTTATTTTAAAAGTAAAATAGTATTCCAATTTACTTTAAAATACAAATATAATTTTAATAATTGTTTGTTTTTGATATCACATGGTTAAATAATTAATTTAAACTTGAAAAGCGTACGCATATATAGAATAGTCTTTGATTATAAAAAAATCTAATTTAAAGAAATTATTAAAATTATCAAAATGTGTCACAAATCAATCAATTTCAATTCGAATTTATTAAAATATCCTATAATATCCATATTATGTTTGTTGCATATATGTAAATATGTACATATGTACATATGTAAACTTTTACATTTTATAAAGAAAATTATGGATATTTTATTCAATATTTTCAATTTCAACCAAGGCCAATATCAACAAGCCAACTAATACCTAAACCCACCCTTTTTAGAAACTATTTCAAATTCCATTCACCTTTTTTCTTATAATATGTGATTTTCTTTACAATTTTTGCCTTGAAAAGTGACATTTTTGTACAGAAAATTTTAAGAAATATTTGAAATTTTGCGAAAAACAAGTAAAATACATAAATATGTACATATGTACATGTGTACTCGTGTTGTATACCATAAAGGTTTGGTTTTTTTCATTTTACATCAGGAGCAAAAAGTTATATGTAAATGGTAATAAAAGACAAAAAGAAAAAAAAAACCACAAGAAATATAACTGAACCTGCCATTAGATTTAAATTTGATTTTGAATACTCAAATCTTATCTTATTACGCTGGTATACAGCTATAGAAAGGTAACTTAAATTATTGAAAAATCATGTGAATGCTCGATTATTGCAACAAAAATATGTAATGTCACACAAAAAAAAAAACAAATTTATGTGGACTGGAATATAAAAACCTACTCAATCTTTAAAAACTAAATCCTAAAATTCTAAATGTAAAATCAAGATCATTTTCAATATCTGCTGGTCGATTTAAAGATTTTTACATGTATAGTGGCTACGTATACACATAATGTATATTGAATAGTAACGATAATGATTTTGAAAATATGTACAGAATGTGAAAAAATTATTTAACAAGGCTTAATTAATGTGAAAATGTTTACTTTTAGATTTTTCGTAGGGATTTTCTTAAATGCAATGAGAAAGCATATTCAAATGTAATCATAAGATCAGGTTTTTCTATAGAGAAATTTCAACTTTTGTCATTAATTTCAATAATTAGTTTAAACGATTCCTGAAGGTTATGAGGATTTTAGTTGAATAGTAAGGGCGTGTTCGTGTATCTTGCTAATCTATTTACCAAGTGAGAAGAAGGTGTATGATTATCACACATACATAATGTAATTTTCAGGTGAGAAGAATTTTTCCGTATGTCATAATGTTTACAAAATTTAATTATTTTTCACTTCGTCAGTAGGTTCACTTCATAAGTGTAGGTTCAGTCGATTATTTGAGAAGAAATGTAAAAAATCCAACTGGAGTAATCTTATTAAAGCGACACACACAATTAGTCTGTAAATAGTTTACCAAAACTGTTTTTAAATGTTAATTCAAAATTCATTTAAAAATTTCGGTTCACTCAATATTACCCGCACCTAAATATTTATAACAATATATAACAGCTTTATTAATTCATTAAACTTATAATTTGTATGTAGAAAACATCACAAAAAAGTGAACCAAAAAACATTAGGTCGTACCATACAATATGAATTCCTGATTTTCTTTTGCTACCACAGTAAATAAATAGCGAATAATATAAAAAATGTGAAATATAATATGTATTTAGCCAGGTATGTTAGTTTGTTTGTATATCATATGCTTCTAATTTTACTCTTATATAATTTAATATAAAATCTCTGACTAATCAT